GTATTAGCGAAGCAGACTTTTGATCCGGCTCATATTGAATAGCACTGATCCTTGAACTCGTAGAAATCGATTGGCGAATCGCCATCTCTTTTCGTTCTCAGTTAGAAGAGGAACAGACAGACGGACAGATAGACTAAACCATCACATAAGGGATATTTTTCTTTCGAAAAGTTCCCCTAAAAACTGGTTTAAGCACCCTTACACCCGCTGGCGTATGTTAGTACTGTTGCCTAACCTACCCGCGCGTCGGAATCTCCGTCTATTTGCAGCTTCTATGGTCCCTTTACATCGAAACACCTTTATCATGTTTAAATACAGGTACTTAAACTAAACAATGCCTTTAATATCTATTCGAGATAAGTATACGTAAACAACTGCGGAAGACTACACTGCTTATTCTTAGTGCCTAAAGTTACCTTTATGATGAAAACGCTTTAACGGCAACACCTCAGATGTACTCTCCTCTCACCACCACAAAAAAAAATCACTCACACAAACACAAAAACTTCTGAAATAAACTGAATAAAACACTGAGCACTTAGAGGCAACGACCCTTTATAGAAATGACCCTTATTAAGAGTTCCGGGATTTGCCTTAAGCTATTCCATTAGTCTTTTAAATGTCATTTTAAATAACATGCGCTGCCAGTATAGGTTTGAAATTTCACCAAACTAAAAAAGTTATTTGAGATCAAAAAGGATTCCAAATAAATTTGGCCCACCGTATACGAGTGTACGTTCATTCCGTAACAAATTGATACAGATAAGACTGGATACAATTATAATTTTCATAAGTTAAAAAGAAGCAGGTATATTTTCTAATGTAAATTTATTTTTAAATGATAAAGATGAGTTGTAAACAAGTAACGTTATGAAAGTTGATACATAAACCTTATCATAAGGTGCTGTAAATTACGAGTTCGCTAGTTTTTATATTCGCCCATGGACCAAATTAAAAAAGATGGTTTAGAAGAAAAAGCGACCAGATATATACGCTTTATACTATTTTACTTTTATTTATTAGAATCTCGTGTGGGTTTTGTTTGCTTTAAAAAATGAATCTATCACACTCGATTTGAACCAAAAGTATACCCTGTATGTACAATAGAAAGTTGTGCCATCTACCGTGACTACCACTCACTACTGTGGGCACGTCACTCGTGAATGTGCCATCGTGGCCGATAATTTCTAGTGACGTTTGTAAACGTTCACATTTTGGCCCCCTTCTCTCTAATCTGACTGCACTGTAGCACGCAGTTTCTGTCTAATTCATTGAATTCAAAGTGCGTTTCATAGGTAAGAACATTTTATGTAACTAATAAGTAATAGACAAAATTGTAACCTATTTCCATTTAATATCGAATTAAGATCTGAAACTCTAATTTACTGTTACAATCTTGCAGTTTGACATGGATCAAATCACAAAATTTGTGGAACCCGGTCGCCAATTCGCAAAGGATTCCATTCGTCTAGTTAAACGCTGCACGAAACCAGATCGCAGAGGTAGGTTCACATGAATTTCGTTTTGTTTACTTGCAATTTGTAACTCTTTCAAAAATACGTGTATTTTTAGTTGCAATTATTTGCCAATATGTTTTTGCATATACTCTTTCAATCTCTCGCCAAATAAAGTTCTGAAAGCACGTATTTTGGCTTACATCGAACTGTTTTTGACATTGGATTTGTTTTCAGAATTTCAGAAGATAGCGTTCGCAACAGCTGTCGGTTTCTGCATTATGGGCTTTATAGGATTCTTTGTCAAATTGATCCACATTCCTATAAACAATATCATCGTTGGATCATAAGCAGCTCTCCCATTCGCTTTAAATTGTGTGTTATTTAATTTCCTACCTTTTATGTTATAGCATAACTTAATTGATCTAATTTGTTTTTCATAATAATATATTCTATATAATTTTGATAATGTTTTTCTATTGTGCACACTACACAGTACGTAACAACAATAAGTACTTCGACCATAAACAATTGAAATGACGCTCTAATTTAATCAGGTCTTCAAAGGAATAAGATATGAAATATGTTGAGACAGTACCAAAACAAAGCATCCGCACTTGCACAGGGCATAAATTTAAGATATTTAGATTACAGGATAAGCGAAATCTGCAAGTGGATAATCCCTCAGAAAAGGTAGAGCTAAAGACCCTATACAGTATACTAGAGCTAAGTACATTGTCCTGTTTGTTAGGGATCAATGTTACTAAGGAGATTAGTTACAATTCGCATCGTACTTAAAAAGCATTAATGGACATTTTGCACCGAGAAAGCTAAGTTGAGCTTAGCCAATTATTGTCGCAATAATCGTTGTCACGAATCTTAACCTAAGATCTGCTTAAATTTCTCAGTGCAAATGACCATAAGTAGGTACTTACAGATGTTGTGTGGATTCACCATTGAAAATTGGCCCCAAACAATATTCGCCCCCAGAAGATTTGGCTCCAAAAAAAATCGGGTCCGAATTTTCGGCCCCAAGAAAACTCTCGCTCCCGGAGTATTTGCTTCTAGAAAATTTTCCGACGTATTTTCGCTCCCAGGAACACCATCATGTCGTCCTACAAATACAATAACATTGCAGCATTACTAAAGCTACGGTTTCCTCGGAAGCGGTGCAGTCATTTAAACACGGTGAGTTACGTCACAAAAGCGGCAAGAAAAGTGCGGCTGTCGAAGCGACAGAACATATTGTGTTCACGGCTGCTCAAAGATGGCACCGCTGTTGAGGAAACCCTAGGTTAACCCTACCCTGCCCCTACAGAAAATAGGGGTGAAAATTAGTCGATTAGCGTATTTTTTAAGGGTTACAAAAATTTGTTGATGGCCTTAAAAATTGTTTGTGTTCAAAACTTGTCATTGCCGTCAGGAATCTTTCGTGTGCGAGTCTTGGGGGAGCGAATATTCAAAAGGTGCTCCCTCACTTAGGCGAAGGAAAGCGTTGTGTTATTTTTCGCCTTTGAAGAAGAATGCCTGTCGGACATACCTTCTGTTATTTCCCGTAAATTTCCCGATAGATATTCTCACGCGATTATGCCGTTGGGAGCGAGTGCACTATCCTGTTGAAACAAACAGCTTCCAACTTTTGTTTATTATTCGACATTTTAGTTAACTTGATTTTATTTTATAAATAAGGTTGGAAAGAGGGGCGGCAATTTCGTTTTTTCACGCAGACGGCCAAGAGTCTGTCCACAAGGATCTGCTTTAGGACCTATTTTATTTTTATTATTTATTAATGATGTTGTCATGTTTTTAAATTGCTTGGTTTTATATGCGGATGATACGACGGCATTATATCCGGAAAAAAGAAAGAAAATAGGTATATATTTGTTTTAAACCATGCCAAAAGCTATTGAGATTCTAAATAAGCTCAGTTAGTGGTTTGATTTTAACAAATTATTCTTAAATCACGATAAAACGTTTTTCGTACCGTTTATAACTTTTGGAAATAACTATTTGTCTGGTCTGACTAAAGCAAAAGCAAAAACATTAATATTCTAAACACTGGGAAGATTCTGACGAAATTTGACGCTTTCAGGAGTCGTATGTTATAGAAAATTTTTAATTCTAATAATATATAACGGTTTTAACCTCACCCAAAAAAATTGGGAGGTTATTGAAATCACCCCAAATTTCGATTTTTCAACGAGAACCAAAGTTTCAAACTACAATTTGTCTGAATCCTATATTCAATCAGATTTCAATTTTGTGTTAGGTTAGAACATATTTGGGAATGTACCTACCTATACCTAGTGTCACAGGAAACGTACAACTAATTAAACGGAATCAAACAGATCGTGAAGATTCAATTAGTTTTAATTTATGATTGTACGTTTTTTGAATTACATTTTGACTCACCGGTACAGCTTAAAAAAATTCTTCTTTGGAGAACGATTCCATGCCAACCCGCACTAATCGCACCGTTTGATATCGAGCAATGAAATGAGTCTTCTCATCGCAAGCGTAACTTCTGAAGGTTACTATTACTATTATACCTGCTTTCTTATCAGACTGGTTTTAACAATGCCTTCAAATTTAAATGATCTTACGTTCCATTTGTACAAGAGAGAAGTAATTACAACCTATGATAAACACGTACAAAAGTGGCCTTGCGATTTCTCCCATTTTGTAGTTGCTAAGTCAAAAAGTGAGCTTCTGAGAGCGGGCGCTGCTAAAGATTTAAGCTCATGAATAAAGCAAAGTTGTTGACAAATTATTATTAGCGTGTGATAAAATGAAAGATATATACGGCTGTTTTTAGCGCATTTTTGCAAATTTAATTGTAAAAAGATAGCTGTTCAGTGTTCATCTCACTTAATTTGTCCGTTCTTCCCTAGGGGCGAAATTAACCACCTTGGCAAGACGCGCGGCTTGGAGGGTTCGTCCACTTCGGGTGGCCAAAAGTTACCTTCCGCTGCGAATTTTGTCACGCGATTTAAAGTTTTTTAGCTTCCATTCGCGGTCTCTCTTTCACCAATAGAAGCTTGAGCTATAAGAAGTGACCCAAACATTTTGTGGAGGGTTTTTAGCGAAAGAGCTCCAATCGCGGTCTCTCTTTCACCAATAGAAACTCGAGCTATGAAAAGTGCCCCAAACATTTTGTGGAGGGCTTTTAGCGAAATCCACCATAATAATAATAATATAATAATCTTTATTTGTCATTCCACCATCCTTGGCTTCGACACGTCATTGACACATAGTGTAGTGTATTAAGAGAATGTACGTACGGGAGACACAGCCGACTTGAACCAACCATCTTGGCTTCGACAATTCAGCAACGTTTTAAGTGTGTACTTTAATTATAATAAATGTTATTTGTTACTTAAGTGTGTTTGTGACAACGGTAATTAAAGGACATATCAATTGGCGACGAGGATACATATTGAGAAAAAAAAAAGGGTGCTATTTTTTGAGGTTGGAAACTTGCACGTGCACCGCATCGAGGGCAGTTCGTAAAAGTAACGAGAATCGCTATATCAGAAGACAACAATAATGGTTTTAATTGGGTCCATGCATAAGTTCGATGTCAAGTCAGACGAGTGGATTGTTTATCAAGAACAATTAGAGCAATTTTTTGAAGTAAATAACATAAGGGACACCCAGACGGACAAGAAACAGGTTGCGGCGTTATTGAGTCTAATTGGCTCAGATACATACAAAGTCTTAAGGGATCTATGCACCCCCAGTTTACCAAAGTCGAAATCATACGAAGAATTATGTAAGCTATTAAAGGCTCACTTTTCACCGGCGACTTGCCTCTTTAGGGAGCGCATCGATTTTTATGCTGCTGCGCAGGAGGCGAACGAATCGCTGAACAAATGGTACGCCAGGATTCATAATCTTGCAACAAATTGTGAATTTGGCACCAATTTGAAATCAGTCCTCCGGGATAAGTTCGTTTGCGGTCTTCAAAAAGGGAAAATAAGGGACAGGTTGTGTGAGGAGAAGCCAGGCGAAGTAACTTTGGAGAAGCTAATGGAGATTGCCCTTAGTAAAGAAGCAACATTGTTAGCAGTAGATAAATCAGTAAATTTAGTGAAGTCGAATCCGTTTCAACTGAGGCAGAAGGTATTCCAGCAGCGTCAGACCCCATCAGGCAACTCTGTGGAGAAGAAAATGGGAAAATGGAAGTGCACAGCTTGTGGAAGACTTCACACCGGACAGCAACAATGCAGGTATGCGAGCTACAAGTGCAACAGCTGTAATAAAATTGGACACTTATCAAAGGTATGTAAGTTTAAAGACATTAAACAAAACATGTTGGACTTTGATACAGAGACTGTTGAAATAAATAATATTTACTTTAACAATGACAAACCAATTTACATACATATTTCTGTTAATGAACATAAAATATCATGTCAAATGGACTCAGGGGCAGCTGTATCGGTTTTAAACTATGATACGTATAAAAAATACCTATCCAATTTAGATTTGCATGATTCAAACATCATTTTAAGAAGTTTTTCAGGATGTAAAATTAAACCAGCAGGTTATATAGTAGGTGATGTGCAGTATAACAATACTATTTGCAAAAATTTTAGTTTTCAAATAATTAAAAGCAATCAGCCTTCAGAAAACTTGTTAGGTAGAGATTTCTTGGAAAAATTTAAATTTAGAATAACAGCTGAGGTGTTATCAATAAGTAATGAGACAGAAAATATTTGTGCAGAATTTAAACGTGTGTTTAATAATTCGTTAGGATGTTACAATTATAAAAAAGTTCACTTGCAACTAAAAGAGAATATGCAACCAGTCTTTTTAAAAGCTAGACAATTACCTTTAGCAATTAAAAAGAGGGTGGAGGATGAACTAAATACTCTTCAAAGGGAGCAAGTTATCACTCCAGTAGAAACTTCAGAGTGGGGAACTCCATTAGTACCGATAATCAAAAATGATGGTTCACTCAAGCTCTGTGGAGACTACAGATTGACCGTTAATAGATATTTCAAACAAGTGCAATATCCATTACCTTCCGTAGAAAGTATATTAATGGAATTAAGCGGGGGCGAATCGTTTACGAAGTTAGATTTAAGTTATGCGTATAACCAAATCAGCGTAGATGACGAATCAGCCATGATTTTAACTTGGACCACACACAAGGGGTTATTTAAGGTGAACAGGTTACCTTACGGCATTACGCCAGCCAGCTCAATTTTCCAAAAGGTACTAGAACAACTACTGCAAGGCATTAAGAATACGGCAAATTTCTTAGACGATATCATTGTAACCGGAGCAACTAGGAAAGAGCACGTAGAAAATCTAAAAGCAGTTCTTAAAAAACTGAACGATGCAGGGTTTAAGCTAAACAAAACTAAATGTGCATTCTTTCAGGAAGAAGTCAGCTATTTAGGTTTCACAATTTCAAAGTATGGTATAAAGAAAAACCTGGAAAAACAACGAGCGATCATTGAAGCACCCAGACCTTCAACGATTACCCAAGTAAAAAGTTTTGCAGGTATGGTTAACTATTATAGCAAATTTGTACCTAAATTAGCAATATTAATGCGACCTATATATGACCTATTGAAGCAAAATCAAAAATATAAATGGACGTCTAATTGTGAAAAATCATTCAAAGAAATCAAAAGTATTATTGCGTCTGATCAAATATTAGCTCACTTTGATCCTAACTTACCCATAGTTGTACAAACAGATGCGAGTCAAGACGGCATAGCAGGAGCATTATTTAACAAAAATAAAAATGGAATTTTGAAGCCAGTGGCGTTCATTTCGAGATCGTTGATGCCGGCAGAAAAAAATTATTCGGTTTTAGATAAGGAGTCTCTGGCAATTTACTGGTCAGTCAAGAAACTATATCAGTATTTGATGGGACAACAGTTTACAATCCAAACGGATCATCGTCCGCTAGTGTCAATCCTAGGCGAAACCAAGGGAATTCCACAGATGGCAGCTTCAAGACTTCAACGTTGGTCAGCATTTCTTTCGGGATTTTCATATAAGCTGGAATATATTAAAGGCGAAAATAATAATGTAGCAGACATGCTCAGTAGGCATCCTGTTGATATTTGTTATATTTCCAAAGGTCAAGATGTAAAATCATCTCATCTAAATATGATCATATCCGAAAACTTACCGGTAGACTACAAGAAAGTAGCATTGGAAACTAGAAAAGATGTGGTACTTTCTAAGGTGTATAATTACCTATCGGTAGGTTGGCCAAGCAAGGTGGAGGAGCAAACATTAACACCATATTTTAGAAAAAGATTAGAATTAACTCTGGAGCAGGGATGCGTCATGTGGGGATACAGAATAATAATACCTACAAAATTTAGACAACAATTGCTGGACGAATTACATAGTAGTCATCTGGGGATAGTCAAAATGAAATCCATTGCCCGAGCATACTTCTATTGGCCAAATCTGGATAAGGATATTGAAGAAACGTGTCGAGCATGCATACCTTGCCAGACAATCGCAAACAATCCACAAAAATCAGAGATCATGAGTTGGAACAAACCAACAAGACCGTGGCAACGTATTCACGTGGACTTTTTGGGTCCTATTAAAGGAAACACCTTCCTAATAGTATTAGATGCATTTAGCAAATACCCAGAGATCAAGAAGATGGAAAGAACGACATCGGAAGAGACAATTGAAAAATTCAGGGACATTTTCAGTACTTGGGGAATACCGGAAACAATAGTCTCTGATAACGGACCACAATTTGTGTCGACGGAATTCAAAAACTTCCTCATAAAAAATGGGATAAGGCAGATTACATCAGCACCGTATCACCCATCTACAAATGGAGCAGCCGAAAACGCAGTCCGAACGTTCAAGAAATCATTAAAGGCAGCACTGTTAACTCACAAACATAATATCACTCCTAGTTTAGTAGTTAGTCGATATTTACTTAACTACAGGAACTCTGTGCATTGCGCCACAAATGAAACACCATCGAAACTCATGATAGGCAGAAATGTTAGAACTTTATTCAACTTACTTCAACCGAGGAGGGAGAATAAGGAAAATAATGGAACGGGTAGACATGAAACCTTTCAAGAGGGGGAGACAGTTATGGTTAAGGATTACAGAGAGAAAAACAATACTATCTGGATCAAAGCAAAAATTTCTCAAGTGCTAGGGAAGAAAAATTACCTTTGCATGTTACTAAACGGTCAGACGTGGCGAAGACATCTGGATCAGATTCGGAAATTCGGGTTAGAGCTGAACCACGACATCGAGAAGACCTCGGAAAACCATACAACTAAAGTACCAAGCCAACGATTAGAAGAAAAGAGTTCAACCTCCACTCCTCAAACGGAAATTATTGACGATGTTCAGGACGAACAAACAGTTGCAGATTCTAATATAACTCCTTTAGTAAATGCACATGTTGAAAATGTAATTACAAACAATTCGGGTAATTTACCAGAAACTATAGGTAGTAATTATAGCAGAAACAATTCTGGAACTATACCAGAAGCAATAGTTAGTAGGTCAGGTAGGAAAATTAAGAAACCAGAAATTTTCAAAGATTTTGAATGTACTTAAGTGTATTGTAGTTCATTTCTTGTACAACAATTAATCTAAGAAGGGAAGAATTGTAGTGTATTAAGAGAATGTACGTACGGGAGACACAGCCGACTTGAACCAACCATCTTGGCTTCGACAATTCAGCAACGTTTTAAGTGTGTACTTTAATTATAATAAATGTTATTTGTTACTTAAGTGTGTTTGTGACAACGGTAATTAAAGGACATATCACATAGCATCCAATAAAAAAAATGTTCCAAAACCCACTCGTGGGTATTGCCGCGTAACACAAAGTATTGAAACGATGCATCGTCACAAAATGTCGAATCTCCATATTGAAGCACATCCAGAGAAAGAGAGGAGTTAAATAAGTAAAATAAAGCTTCAAAGAAATATTACCATACATAAGAAAGTTGGCTATGAGCAGTCTGTGCAGTCACTGCGTATGCCCACATAATTTTTACTATGTGCGAAATGTTTGCCTTTACTAGAAGCATTTGTGGTTAAAATTTCAAAGAAATATCTCCATAAATAAGAAAGTTAGCATTGCGCAGTCACTGCGCATACCCACATAATTTTTACTATGTGCGAAATGTTTACCTTTACTAGAAGCATCTATGGTTAAAATTTCAAAGAAATATCTCCATAAGTAAGAAAGTTAGCATTGCGCAGTCACTGCGCATGCCCACATAATTTTTACTATGTGCGAAATGTTTACCTTTACTAGAAGCGCCTGTGGTTAAAATTTCAAAGAAATATCCCCATAAATATGGAAGTTGGCATTGCGCGGTCTGCGCAAAATATGGAGTTAAATGAAACTGATCGAATTGGGCAAATATAGACCATAACAGCTATCAATTAGCAAAAACCCGAAGTCTCTAGGTGGCCCAGGGGCCGAGATCTCGATGGAACGGACGGACGGACGGACGGAAACACGAGCACATAAGCTTTACCTCAACTTCGTTGTGTTACGCAAAAAAATATACACATATAGGTACATAAAATAACAAACAAATTTTTGTATTTGTATTTGTATTTGTATTTGTATATTGCCAGTACATTCAGTACAGAGATGTATGTGCAATATTTGTCATAAATTATAACAGCAGAAATTACATAGAAAAGAATAACAACTAACAAGATTGACAAATTACCAATATAACATAATGTAAATATAAATATAATGAAACAATATAAATAAAAATAAAATTATCTACAGATATACTAACATGCCAACATAACTACGGAAAGCGTTTTCTTTTTATTTCGATAACGAGATGTAGTCACTTAAGCAATAAAATGTGTATTGGAGTAAAAACTGTTTGAGTTTTAACCTAAACTGTCTAAAGGTAGGGATATTTTTAATTGCGTCTGGTAATACATTAAAAATTTTGCAGCATTGGTAAATTAAATTATTCTGGAATAATGCTGTCCTATGTTTACCAGGGTTTAGATTAGTAAATACAGTGATACATGAAAGTAATAACACAACAATAAAATTATTCATTAAATCATTAACAATAGCAAATTTTTTAAAACAGTAGAAGGTATTTTACATTAAATCACAGGGTGTGTTTAGGTATGCGCTTACAGAGTAAAAGCAGTGGTTCAGAAGATGGTTCTTAATAGTATTTTTAAACTGATTGAATTGTTGACATTTAACAGGATCTGGAAGATAGTTGTACAATTCAACTCTTGGACTATTATTTTTTGATTTGCTTAATCTGTAATAAGGAACCCTTATAACGAGTAACCAAGTGTCGTCAGCATAAGCAATACAGTGATTCGGGTGCATATAAGTAAAAAAGTCATTTGTGTACATAACAAACAATAATCGTCCTAAGATAGAGCCTTGAGGAACTCCATTCTTCGTATAGATTAATTCGGATTGAACACCATCCATAAAAACACACTGTTTGCTATTATTAAGATAAGATGAAAGTAATGTTTCAGCAAGCCCTCTAATATCATATAGATGGTGCATTTATAGGACTGTGGGGGCACACTAGCTGTTGATACCGACATAAGGAAGCTTCTGACAATAAGATCAGACTAATGATGGGGTCAAAACTGGCTAATAGATTGCTGATCTGCCACACAAAAATGTGTTGAAGTCCCTTCGATCTAATACGAGAACTTTGTTAATTTTTTTAAAGATTGTAATAAGACTCCAATTACAGTGATAAAAATAGAAAAACAGTTGACAGTCGCATTCTCCAAGTATCGACAAAAACGCACTTTTTTTCTCATGGAACTTTAATTTGAAGTATAGGTAATAAGTAATGAAAAAGTTTTGACTTCCGCCAGAAATATTGTATTTTAGAATGCATGGCAAAATTGCGTCGTTTTAGTAAAAAATTGTTATATATTAATCTTCTTCAGAAAAAAGATTGTATGGAATCCCCGTTACAATAATTCAGGAGTAGCCGCTTTCTTGTTAAATAATTTCGCTAACTGATACGAAGTTATTTTTACCAGTAAATATTTATAGCATATTCTTAATAATTAAAAATAAGTACTATTGTTTGCGTTTTGTCCGTCCGTCCATCCGCCCGTCCGGGCCCACTTCTACCGTGTTGAACTACCTTTAGGGAAATGTTCTGCAATTGTAATAGCAAGTCTACACCTTAAAGTTGCGCCAAACGGCAATCAAATTTCGCTGTTAAAGGAGGAGGGGAGGGGGGGGGCATGAGTTATTTCCTTAGATTTTATCTTGGAAAGTAAAGCGTGCATACCTTTTGCATGCGACAACCAATTCATCTCAGATCTTGCATACGTACGCATACGCATGCCTTTAGTGGGGCCAAGTACTGGTGCAAGCAATTTTGAGAAAGGTACTCACACAGTGAAAATATCTGCAGAACGGAGTGTCGGAGGCGGGTAATGTAATGTAGGGCGATGTAAAAACCTATACAAATGGAAAATGCAATATTTCGGAGAATTTCTCTAAGGGCTTGATTATTCTTCCATTAAGCATAGATTTTGAACGTATGTCAGGGGACCTTTGTAAATGTTTATGTGTAAAGGCTTAAAGAGCCATTAATCATCTACCAAGAAAGTAAACATCGATAAATATAGCATGCCACTACCTTACAATCACGATACATTTCGTACTTATTATAATCTCTTTGTTATAATCTAACCATTTGCTAAGCTATTTCGGTTTTTAAAAAATGCGCTGTATCTGCAGCTGCACCTCGCGAAGAAATTGCAATGGCAGCGACAGACAGAGAGGGCGTAGCGTAAATCAAAGTTGGAAGTAAAATCCCACCAAATTAGTCTTGTTCTTCAATTTAAGAGGGATTGGCAACGAAGTGTTTAATTACTTACCTATGTATTGTTCCAGTCAGTAGGGGACAAATAAGGCCTTGGCCCTAGAAAAGGTGTCGTAGCAGAAAATTTTTTAATATGTTGTTGAGATCTGGGCCTTGCAACAAAAACCATTTTTTCGCCCTTAGGGGAGGACCGCTCACGCCGCCATCTCGAATGAAAGATACAAAAAAATCGATGTTTGCAAAATAACTCCCGCTATTTATTACAATTTTGTAAGTTCAAAATGTACTCATTTCCGCACCCTCTTGAAGTACAAAACGTGGCGCGTCCGCGATTTTTTTGTTGATCCAGACCAACACATAGCGTCAACCAAGCGATCATATTGTCAGCGTTTTCCTTTCTTTGGTGGTCCCGGCCGGGCAGCCATTAAACGAATGGAGAAACAGAATATTCCCCAGCCACCTCTTCATGTTTCAAACTATTTGCGGAATATAATCTTTCAACAATTTTGCCTCTAACCTAGTTTGCGAAGGTAGATTTTACTTTGAGATGGTGCTAGCTAGTGCTGACAGCAAAACAAGCAGATGGACGTCTTCGTCAACGACGAAAACAGTCTCAAATGTTGAACACAAGTAAATCGTTATCCTTACAATCTGAATCAACATCATCTTCTTCCGCTTGTTCAACAGTAACAGAAGCTTGTTCCATTTTCTTTGTCAGCCTCAAAATTAAACGGGCTTTATTGTGGTAGGTATGGAAAAAACATTTAAAATTTGTTCCCACGAAGTTTACGGTCGAAAATTGGGAGCTTTACAAAAAATTCATATTTCCGCCCTGCAATTCGGAATATTATTACAAAAAATGTGAGTACTTTTGTCTTCTTCCAAGTTTTATTTGAACCCTTTTTTCGTAAGATCAATCACAGATGTAGAATATTTAGTGGTTATTTTGAAAAAAAAAATCGATTTTTCGTTTGTACTTCTGTACCTTTTATCCAAGATGGCGGTGCGAGCGGTCCTCTCCCAAGGTCGAAAAAATGGTTTTTGCTTCAAGACCCAGACCTCGACAACATATTAAACTTTTCTGCTACACCACCTTTTCTAGGGCAACAAAGCGACATAAATAAATATATATTTAATTGTTGCGAATCCCTCTTAAATTGAAGAACAAGACTAATTTGGCGGAATTTTAATTCCAAATTTGATTTACGCTACGCCCTCTGTCTGTTGCTGCCATTGCAGTTGTATGACGCGCAAGGATTACCCTAGGAAAGGATATATTAACCATTACTTCCCCCGACTGTCAAAGCGCTCAGATTGATACATAACTCCATTGGTCCGACCTAAACTAAAAAAAAATAATCAAACGCTGTTTGAACTTAAATTTATTTTTAAAATAAATGTTTCCAAGGATTAAACAACTTTAAGGCACGATATAACATGATTCAGGTAAAATTTTACCCGTTTAAAATTTAAAAATGTAGATAACAAAGAGGTAATTTTACATATTAATAATGATTTAAAAACGCCTTAAACGATGGCAGAGAACAGAAAGCAAATTCAAGTAGACAAAACATATTTACAGATAAAAAGTGCAGTATGGAAACAAAAATTAGTTTTGAAACATTATACAATAAATTTTATATACAGAAAAGACTCAACAACGTTCTATAAAATAAAGAATCGAAGCATTTTAAAATTTCATAGAAAAATAGAAAATGATCTCATATTCGTATAATATATAATAACAAAATGGCACATGCGTATTTTAAAAAAGAGTGAATACACAACGTAAGTATACAAAAATAGACGCAGAGTTTTGAAAACTTACTGCCCAAGCATATCACAATAAGATTAAGGTTTATCTTGTCTTTTTCAACACTGGGTAATCTAAAGATATTGCTGCAAAGTAATGTGATAAAGGCACTATTTTTAACATTTACAAAAAAGGGGAAAAGTAAATATTACTAAGCGCACAACAATTTCAGACATATTTTTAATGGAAGCAACAATCTTAATGCAAATTTATGTATCATAAATTGCTTAAGAGGCGAGAAATACTTAAAGTATAAAGCAGTCGTTACGCAATTTTTAAACAAACGATTCTTACTAACAGATAAATATAATAAAATACTATAAAAATTGCGCAACGAGCCCTTTGATAAAAAAAAAACTTAAGCTAAATTTAAAAACCAGATAAACATTTACGAGTTTAACCAATGACTGGAAAAAAGGTACATAAGTAGTTTTAAACTACATAAAAATAGAATATGTAAGTAAAAAAATACGCAAAACAAAACAAAACGATACAGGATGTCACGCCAATTCTAGTCTAATTTGAACAAAATTAGATCGTGTGCCTCGGAGAAATAAAAGTATGTGAGGCTGCTTTTGATTTAGCACATCGCGCATCTGCGGTGGCCCAGGCGCAAATTACTAGAAATCGCACCACATTCTGTCGACAGTTTGGACCAGTACTGAAATCTGGTGATCATTCTAGTAAATTGCACTTCCTACCAGCAAGTTGGCATTGCACGAACGAAAATAACATAAAACAGCCAAGCTCTGGAAGACTAGTGTGAGCTTTGAAGCGACATCCTGTATTAAAAGACGTATACTCTCAAAATTTGGCAGTAATATCAAAAGTAATGTAACATATGAAAATACTATTCCTATGTGGAATGCTGTATAGGTATATTGTGCACCATTTAATTAACAATGAAGTACCATTCATTGGTAATTGACAGATCTGGTAACAATAATGAGGTTAGAGTGGAAGCAGTTGGTCACACTCCACGTCCCAACTTACTACACCTAACCCAATTAAATCAATTTTTTTTCACTTTTAGTATGGGTTAGGGGTTTCAGTTAGAAGTGTTGCGATGACAACATGCAAAGGTGCAATTACGCCATACACCCGTTATCAAAACCCGTGCTGTTATAGTTTTGATTATTATTTCCATTATAATTATGGCATGGTTGATTATTGTATTGATACGTTAAACACTCTGGGTCGTCAAGATTAGTAAATTGGGGCTGGTAACTATCCACTGGGGGTTCTTCTATAATTATGTTTGGAAGTTTATTGTTAAGTTGGATCATGGAACGAGTGTAAGTTATATCACTGACTACACCAACACTTGCAGGACGGTTGTATATATTAATAGTTTGAGCTTTGAAGGTGTCGACGGAGGCCGGGCGACTATAGGAATGATTCGTTTCTATCACTGCATTCGATAAGGAAAACAACGGCGGTAGTCGGGGGGTAACATTGTCCCTTGTCGCTCTTGGTATGTTGTGCTTGCAAGTAGATCGATGCGAAGATAACATTTCCACGAGTTGTCGCCTTTGATTTTGAAGTTCCTGGACTTGCTTCTTCAGGTCCACGTTTTGGTCGTCGAGCGTTTGGGATTCCTGAATCAAATTGATCGTCTTCTCTCGTTTCTTCAGTCGACATTTTGTCGCCGCGATTTTATTCCTTTCCCGTCGACGTCTTCGTCGCTCTTCATCTTCAGCGGTTAACTGTAACAAAAAACGACGTTAAGTTATATATTGCGATAACAATTCTCGTGTATTTCAAAACACTTTTAAATCACCGTTTTTTTAAATAGTTTTACATAAATAAAAAATGTAATGTATTTCGTTTTGATGAGTAATTTTTGTGATGTAATTGATAACTCACACACTATTATAGCCAGCTAGTCTACTACCACGAATGTTTATCACTATAATACGTAACCACATAAATCTTGTGAAAAACTTATCGAAGTGATCCTTTTATATTGCATGACCGTTTGATAAATAGCTTTTTATAAATTCAAGCAAAAATAATACTATGTTTGTTGTTCTTAAGTTTTATTGCCTTATTTTGGAATTTTAACAAGATTCAACATCCACCTCACAGCCCACCAAAACTACAAACATCATCGTGCAACAACAAGAAGGAGATTTAATGGCATAGAATGGAGGAGAATTTTAGGAATAGGGAATAGGTGCCAAATCTTGTAGAAACAAACTTTTTTTGAATTGTAAAGTAGGTACCTATATATTTTCTTCCCCAATAAAATAAGTCCAATATCTGTAATTGAAATATCCTACACCCTTATACTCGACTACTTTTTTTCCTATTAGAAAAATATTGATCGAAATTGATTCAACAATAAAACCTTCGTTGGTCAAATATCCAAGAGAAAGGAGAGAGAATCTTCAGCTTCAGAAACCATAATGAGGGTACCATGAAATGTGAAAAACGCTTGATTATAGACAACCAATTTGCTTTGGTCTGAAAAGGATAGACATCGGGATTGTATAATTTGAGGTAATTGTAAGGGTCCTTCAAACTTGAAAGGCGGATAGTCTAGACAGAACAATAGAATCCGCAAGATGCTAAACTGACAAAATTGTTGTTATATAATCGCGAATTCCGGTCGTATTCTTCGGGTTTTCTTGAATAACAAACAGGTATTCAAACTAGAGAATTTTGCATTGAATTACTGATTAGATCCAATCTATACAACCTTGAGAGAGTCATACTTCATTGATAACCGATTTTAAATGAAGAAACAAATTTGGACATTTTTTTGGCCCAGTTTCATATAATCTCTAAATAATTACCTACTTGATATGCTTTTTTTTTAGTCTTTTGCCAAAACAAAAATAAAAAGTTTTTAATCTCATTCATATATTCTCCGAGACAGCTCACTAATTATCTATTTGTTCTAATTATACCGTTACTAACTGGGCAAAATCGCTACGAAAAATCTCAACATTTTAATTGAAACCGTCTTCCAACAACAAACAATTGCGTCACAATTAAAGTTTAATCACCTTACATTGGTATCTTCGTATCTTAACATAATTTAATTGAGCGCATCTGCAAGTGGTGGACACTTAATTAAATTAAAATCGATCAGTATGTTACAATTTGCAATCAGAAATAGAAATAATGTCCTTCGGGCATAATTTGTTAAATCTATTTTTAACTCATTCAGATACAAAAAAAGAATTTATTAATAATGTACGTTTAATGATTTTATGAATGGGGATAGAATATTATATTAATTTCTATTGTTCGAAGTAGCGCGGTGATCGAATACAGAAGGAGCAAAGGTGTTCAACACCCGGCAAAACCATTTAATTTAAATGGTTCATTGGTGGTTATAGCACAGATATATCTTTACGTATATCTGTGGTTATACATATAAAGGGCTGTTTTATTTCTACATTCTGAAGAAAAGAAAAAGATTCGAAGAAGTTTGCAAAAAAGGGCGCTGAACTTTCACAAATTATTGAGAGTGCTTGAATGAATCCGTAAATGAACAAAGTCAGATTGATACAAAAATTCAGAATTATATTATCACCAGTTTCATTTTAAAAACGTAGAAATGCATTCCAAACATTTAAAATAGGCCTGCTCTGATGGTGTATTATAAGACTCTCACTTCCACCCTGTGTTTGTCAGAAAATATCATTTTGAATTAGGTTTCATTTCTTGTTGCGGAAAACTATACCTAACACCGGTTCGCTACATACTCTGCACATTAGACCTTGTAGTATTAAAGTCGCAAAAGCACAATTCCCTAACTTTCTAAGGATTTAACGTTTTCTTCCGTAGACATAGGTCCGGTTTATCTAAGGAAAAGCTCATACTACCCACTCGATCAGATCAAATTCTAAAAAATTGCAACTGGCGAACTGTCTGCATGTCCACTTGTTGAATTGAGGTCGCAAAACCACAATTCTTCAATTATCTAAAGTTTTAACGTTTTCTGAACGGAATTTATCTATCTTTTTGCTGTATTTGACCATTTGTAACTGTGTAAAATGTTTCAATAAGGCGCTGTTAGCCTTCAGATTATTGTTTGTTTTGTAGAAATGTTTATTTTATTTTTGTATGTAATTGTGTGATAATCAAGATATATTTTGTATGCGAGAAAATTAGGTATCAATTTGAATTCTAAGAAAATTCATAGTTTGTTTTTTTGTTCATTGAAAATTTCCAAATTTAATAGTGTTGTTTCATTTGAATTACGGAGATCCGGAACTTCCAAGATTTTGCTAAGTCAGTGTTGAGATTGAGAACTGAACCCCGAGATTAATTTTTTCTTTAGTTATTAAAAATAAAGTTTATAGGAAGATGAGGTTGAGGGTTTGTTACACAGTTTTATTTGTGTAATTTGGAGCTAGCTACGTAAATGGTATTGGAGTGTTATAATGAATTCATGCCACTGTACACAGCAATCATTTTTATACGCCCAACGTGGGGCATAGCATATATTTTTTTTTATTGAATGAGGGGACATAGCATTAATTTTTGGCGCCCAACGTGGGGCAATTCAGGAAAACGCGAATTTAGGTCAAATTTTTCTAATTTGAGTCAAATTAGGGATTTTTTTGTCGTAGAGATAAAATCGATTTTAGTACCCAGACATATTATTTTTCAGGAAAAAGAAGTTTCTTACGACAAATAAAGTGCAAGTCTTCGAGCTCTCAGAAAGTATATGTGTTCTAAGGATCCGACATGCAAATTACATATTGGTGTTTTGGGTTCACAAAGTTCTAATTTCTTTATTTGTATTGGCTTAAGATTTAAAAAAAACTCAACCTCACAAGGATCAACCAAGGACCAACAAGGATTTCACATTAAACAAATCAAAAAGAAGTTACTGTTACTATTACTTGTATGTTATGGTATGAAATGTTCGCTCCTAATCACTGGTGTCGTAAACGTTAACATTTACACATGTTTATTATATTTGGAGGGGAAGAGAATGGAAATTCGCCGCCACATCGTGGTTGGAGAAACCGGAACACCCCCAAACTCCATTAAGTCGGCGCCCCTATATACAGTTTACCATGAAACTGAAAACAAATCAACAGAAAATCTCTGAAATGCCAAAAATCGACGTCGCTTAAACAAGCGCTAGCTGAATGATCTTGAAAAAATAGTATATTAAGAAACAAATGTATAATCAAGTTTTAAACGTTACAAGTGCTTTAAAGAGTAATTATTATACACGCCTTTCTTATAGTATTTTTTGTTATACCTGCAATATAATTAAAGAATAAGGGAAATAAAATGAATTCATATTTACGTTATACTGGAATAAATTTCTAATTAAGTTTGCTTACAAAAATGACTTCGGTTGAAGAATATAATGCTTGTTGCAGAAGCAGAAAAAGTTGGTACCTGCAAAAATCCAAACACAAAAGCCTACTATAAAGAATATGAAAGGCTGTTGGCGTGGAAGAATAGGAAGCATCTTTCAAGCAAAGTCTTAAGTGCATCGTTAATGGTGGCATATCTGAAGGAAATGTGAAAGATATTTCAATCTTTTATCCATTGGTGCACTCATTCAAAACTTTAACCAATACAGCGATTAAGAAGTGCAATAGATTTGGCAGAATACCTACACTACACCACGCGGTGTTTGTGAAAGGTTCCAACAAAGGATGCGAGCCAAAGATCTCTTTTGCATTTATAGAAAGCGATCTGAGAGGATTTTTCCCAAATTATAGTTTCAAATTTCATATGTATTTGAAGTAACGTTACTTAGCAACCATTTAAGCTCGGGGTACGTTAATCGACTTTTTTTCGCACACTCAGGCATGTTTTAAACAGCAAAGTGTCATACAAGTAAGGGAGGAGTGAAATTTCCCAACTGCACAAATCAATAAATATCGAGATAAATATGCAATGGCTTTTTCAATCTCATGGGATCCGAAGACTCTATATACTTTTACATAAATGTACACGACAAATTTCAAAATCAAGTGTTTTACATTCCCTTTTCAACGAAACATCCACGGGCAACGAGATTGAATCAGCATGATTATGATGTTGATGCATTCAAAATGAATTTCTTTTTTGTCCTCTCTCATCAGCGATTCTCAACCTGGGGGTCGCGCGTAGATTTTTGAGGGTCGCGGTAGGTACAGGACAGGTAAGATAATTTCGATTTCAATTCCGAATTCAACATAATGCAAAGTGCATAAGAAAGTTATGATGGAAACGTCGTTTTGTAGTAATTAAAAATTACATGGTCAGCTACAACCGCGGGGACTTCCGACTCCGAGACGCCTGGTAGTGATACCACAAGAACTCGCCTGTTGTCGAGAACATCGCTTCAATTTGCCAAAAACTTTATGTGTGTGGTTAATTTATTTAGTTTCAAAATAAGCAAGTAATCAAATCTGATTAGATTTTTAATGAAATCTGGAAGTGCTAAAGACAATAACAACATAAATCGCTCAATGTCAACATTTAGTTTTTTTTGTTAATTATTATATTTTTGTTAAATTGTCTTAATGAATATTGACTTTATTGGAACCATTGGAAAGCATTTTTCAGTAGCTTTCCAACGATGTGTCATAAGTATGAGGTTGCCATTTAGAATGTTAGAAGAGGGGGGCTGGGGTGTTAAGGGGGGGTTGTCACTCATAACGTCATTCTGGTTCACCCTCGATACCCCCGAAACGGTTTTGCGCGATTTTCAATATCTTCTTTAGTTTGGAAAATATGGCCGACTGCATAGTTTTAAAATTGACACCCCGTATAAGGGCATTACGTAGCTGTTATATACAGGGTGACAATTTGAAAACTTACCACCCCCCATATCTTAGTAAATAAACGAGGTATTTAAAAAAATCAAAATCCGTTTCGGTAATTCGGAGAGGGAATCACAATGACATAGTTGGCGACGCACCCCCTCACACCCCCTGCGCCCCAGCCACCCCAACTTTTAAATCTTAAATAGTGACCCCCCATGTGTGATACGTCGTTGGAAAGCTCTGAAAAATGCTTTCCAACCATACCAAATAGCATTACATTTAGGTTAGTAATTATCGTGCAAATCAAAAAATAAACATGGAAAATCGTATTTAACTTGAACTTCCAAAGCCGACTCGACAGCAACTCATTTTTGATCGCCAGTTATAATCTATTCTCAAACTCTTGTCGAACCTTTCCAATGTTGGTTTTGCAATATTTCGACATTCTTGAATTATTCTCTGTCTTAGTTCGTCTATGTTCGCCAGTTGCGTTTTAAATACGACAGATTTCAAATGTATCATATTAGTTTATTTTTTGATTTGCACGATAATTACTAACCTAAATGTAATGCTATTTGGTATGGTTGGAAAGCATTTTTTCAGAGCTTTCCAACGACGTATCACACATGGGGGGTCACTATTTAAGATTTAAAAGTTGGGGTGGCTGGGGCGCAGGGGGTTGGAGGGGGTGCGTCGCCAACTATGTCATTGTGATTCCCCCTCCGAATTACCGAAACGGATTTTGATTTTTTTTAATATCTCGTTTATTTACTAAGATATGGGGGGTGGTAAGTTTTCAAATTGTCACCCTGTATATTCAACTCGCTAACAATAAATAAAAAATATTTAGTTTAGCGTGGGTTCTTCAATGGAATTAACAATAGGATCAAGTACTAGGGAGTCGCGGTCATCAGACCCTGAAAATAGGGGGTCGCGATTACAAAACGGTTGAGAATCGCTGCTCTATCTCATTCCGTAAAAATTCAATGCGGCGCTCATAAGAATTAAGACAGTAGTAGCCTGTAGCTTCTGCATCTAGGTAGCGTGCCATTACAAATCTGATAACAGAATCAGTGCTAACGGGAGCCCTCTATTTCCGACCGTTTAAGCTAGGGAAAATTAAAATGAAATTTGACAGTTTCAGTTTTTCGGTGGTAGCACTGGTAGCGCAGTTATTTTCAAAGATTTCTGAAAAATTTAAAAAGCGTTTTTTTAGTCACAAAAAGAGGAAACTGCCGCCATTTAACCTACACTGTATTTCTCACCGTTACAAAGATCCCCATGGTAAGCCACGAATTTGAACCACCCTGTACGGAAATTATGGTTCCCAACCATTAGGCCATGTTCCCAAGTATGTACATCACCACAGACTACTTGGCTGGTATATGAGAAAAATATCGTCACATGTAAGACAGTTGATGGTGTCCGTTCTCGATTAAAAGCAACGTACAGGGTCTGTCCGAAAAGTAATGTATACTGATTTGATTAAATAAATTTATTGGTCATATCCTTCTATTTACAACATTAAAGTTTTCAAAATACTCCCTCTCGCATTGATATAGCGCTTTCAACGAGATTTCTAAGAATCGAAGGCGCCATGGAAGACCTCTTTCGGAATCTCCTTTATAGCCTTGGTGCAAACCTTTCGGGACTGTTCCGAAACGATGAGCTTTCAAAGGAGTTTTCAAGCGAGGGAATAGAAAAAGGTCTGGGGGAGCCAGGTCAGGTCTGTAGGGTGGACAGACTCTGTATACTTATACCGACTGAAAGAGAAAGTAAGCGGTGGCTTGTTGGAAAAATATGTTTAGATTTTAATAGGAAACCTCTACCTTCCGATCTGCAATCACCCTGTCTCTTTTGTTTTCCTGATTTATTGGGGCTACGATGTTAGTGAAGTTACCAAATTTAAATGAAGTAACTGTCATTGCACGCCAGGAGGACGACCTGAGCATCAGATGACGAAGGCCATCTATTACCATACTTTTTGCAATCACAATTTCATTTCCTTTCAAAATATGTAAAAATATACAAGACGTTCCATAAGTTACTTTGTTGAATGCCTTAATAATTCGTGATTTTCTAATGCATGAATTTAGTGAATAAAGAGTGTAAAGTGTGAAATGATATTTTCAAAATGTGACACAACTCAATGCCAAAATTTTAATATATTCTTACCCCATCATTTCTTCGGTCTTCAGAATCCGATTCCGATTTTTTGATCCGCTTGCAATGGTCCAGATCCAGAAGATCTTCGGATTCGCTATTGTGTTTGCGTTTCTGTTCGATCGAAAGTTTGAGTCCAGCTTTAATTAGTTGCGAACAAGTGTGTTGGATACTTGGCGGTGTCGTCGTCGGTGATTCTATTTGGCTACAACTCGAACTGTTGGAATCATTGGACATTGTCGTTAACGGACCGTTCGTGGTCTTAGTGACATCGTCACCGAACGTATAATTATCTAACGGATTGGTCATGGCTATTAAGGAATTTAATATTTCCGGCGTCCTGGGGGTTGTGCAGGCGCTATCCACCGATAGCAGGTTGTTGACGGCGTCGGCCGCCGATTGGGCCAAATTTACGTTTAAGTTATACATAATATCACGTATTTCGTTTAAAAACTAAATCACAATAAAACTGCGAAAACGACTCGCACACAACTATCGATTATTATTTAAGAGTTTATATTGTATACGTTTGGTGATGGTATACCTACAATTTACTTTCGGAGGTATATAATTAGCGTTAACTCATCTAAACGCGTCTTCTATACAATGGTTTCGAAAATCCAAGGACCACGGTGACTGCAATCTGGAAAAAAACAAAAAATTATTAACTTGAAAGATGAGCAATTTTCAATATGCAAATTATACGAAACGCTAAATTAAATGTACATGCACAAGGTAAAGTGAAACTGTTAAAACGTGACTCCATTCATATTAACAGTAAAAAGTGCGATTGTCTTCAAAACAACCTTCGTCATTCCAGTCTTAGAATTGTAATCAGTTCTAAGCGCTCCGATTTTTTCAAGCAACCTTTACACAAGGTTCCTACTTATTACTATAGGGTAAAATGCGCTAAGTTAATAATAATAATAATAAAAGAGAAGCACGCAAAAGCAAGATGCGCGCACTTGAGAATATCATCGTTTATTGAAAAACCCTCATTTTTCGGAAAAACTCGAAAAGAATGAAGAAAAAGTTACTGAACTAACTTTCTTATTGGTGGAGCGATTTTTGTAAATTTTAGAAGCGAAACGTGTTGTTAATATCTCGAAAACGGAGTGTCCGAAGAGAGTGCCCACAAAGGGAAAATGAGAGATGTGGACAATGCGCATCCGTCAGTGGGGCCAAAACTACAAGTGTGAATATCTCGTGAGCGGAGTGTAGGAAGAGGGTAGTTAGAGTATACATGTTTCAATTTTTCTCTTAGATGAACGCTATTAATTATGATTTATGGGCGATCAAATGGTCGATTTATTCTTACTACCCGCCATGCCTAAAGCACGAGTCAACAAAGTCATTGCTTTTTTTTACAATCTGCTGATGGCTTGAACATTGATTAGCAAAATAGTAGGTGCAGAAAGGCAGAAGAAATCCACAAAATTCTTGGGAAGATCTTCGCCCACTTTGCAAAAGATTCTGTAATTGAATATTTAGTTTGGAAGATCATTACGAAAAACTAGGACATGAACATTTTGGGCATGCAAACAAAATAGACAAGGGAAGACAGTTCTTCGATTAAAATCGAGTAGTTACCATTTATAAAAGTACTTTCCACATCTGGAAAATGTTTTGGGGAATTGATCAAGATTTATAAAAGAACCACGCATGTGTTAATACAATTAATGTACAAAAATAATTCGTCTTCTACACGAAGGAATTCAATTAATGTCCGCGCCGATTAAAATATATGGTAATTTACATTCAGAAGCCGCACATATACAATTAAACGATTTCACACTTTCGCCATAACATTGTATTACAATTTAAACAATCTCAAAAAGTCCATCCATTTAGCTTGACCTAATATTGCGGGTAATTAATTTAAATTTTAAATTGAATTCTTCTAAGATGAGCGTTCCAATTTTTTTTACGACGATAATGTTCGTCCTATTTATCTGGAAATGTCAAATGCGACTCGCAATTACTTTCTGACTGACTCCCGTGTTTATATTAGCCAGTTCGATTTCCTTTCAAAACGCTCTAGCCCGTAATTCAATACAGCTGAGATAAATTTGGTAATTACAAAACACATGTTGCTTTAAAGTTTAATGGACCTAGTCAACATTTTACATCTTTTAACGTTGATTTGTAGTGGAGCTGATCCAAATTTAAATATAGTTTTATTATTTGGTTTAGTGGTGAATCTCTCGAAATAAATATGGCATGTGTTTTTGTGTTCGGGCAGTACAAATAAATTTCGATTTGTGGTCAAGTAATGGAGTTTGAATTTGCCGCTTAAGTCGTGTCAAGTTGGTAGTACATAAATCACTGCCCACTTGAAAAGTTAGTGAAAGAAGCGGGACGCCCACCATGGGCAACTATTTTGCCACAGTTTTACGTTAAGATGCGACTTCTTGAACCGGATGCGGTAATTAAGTTAACCAAATGGTACTTCTCACTGAAACGCCTTAAATTAATGTGTGCTCAGACATTTTATTAAGCTAATTTTAATTTGGCTTTATATGATAAAACTGTAATTAGTGTAAGTTTCGAGGCATGACCATTTTCACTCTGTGGGAAATATAGCTAAAACGGTACAAAAACCAGAACTATGTACTACCACCATGGATTATTCTTATATTTTCTTATCTTTTTCAAATGAGGTTTGCGAAAAATGCTTAGAAATTAGATTTATATATCACCCTTTATGGCTGTATAGTTTGAAGATACTCTTGTGCGTTCGGACCTTTTAATTTGTGGTCCTTTTATGCGAATTAAACTAAAGAAACTTAAGTACATACAATTCTTGGTTTTTTATCGAATATTAATTGATCGGGCTAGCAATTTGTTCTCTCGAATTTAAACTGTAAAATTTAACATGCAAACATTTCCAAATTGAGTAACTTTTTCAAATGTTTGCCGTGTTCCACGTTACAAATGCAAATCACGGCACCAAAAAGCTCTTCAGGAATGTATAGTAGATCACAAAATTAGTCCCCTTATGTGATGTTTTGTCCGCCCGTCTGTCTGGTCGTGGTTTGACTCGAGTCGACCACTCCGCCATTGATTAGTCGCCTCTTACGACGTGCAGTGTCGCTGCAGTAGGGGTATTCTCAACCCCGCCCCTACACGGGTCAAATAAAAAAAAGCTAACACAAATAAAAGTTCAATATCCGAAACACATACAAATGGCCTATTATCACCCTATTACGGACTAACATTATTGAAAATACCATGAACTAAAGTGAATCTAGCAAAGTGAGTGAAAGAATTTGATTATTTTAGAATTAAAAGATACATAAATTATTTTTAATTATCAACAATTTTTCACTATATCATCTCATATGCTGCGATTGCATGAGCATTTCTACGTACATTTCCAGTAAGGATCGACGATTTTAGAGCTTTCTAAAACCCCTTGTCTCCTTAAGTCATAGAGCTCTTAAGAGACTATAAATGCTCCTTGGGTTCTTTCTAGAATTGAGGTTCGTAGTCCATTCCTAGGGCTAGCTAGATACGCATAAGATGCTCTGAAATGTTCCTAGAAAGATTAAAACTTTGTAAAGAGCCTAGCTCTCTCTGTACAAAGTCTACAAAATTTAATGACTTAACCAACCTTTAAAAACGACCTGGGAAGGAGATCGAATGCTCTAGAATAGACATTTTCCAAAGCGCTTTGCAGGCCTAGAATGCTTTAAAAAATCTTCGAACACTCTAAAATGCATTCTGAAACTCATCTAAACAGCTTTTCCTAGAGCTCTGGAAAGACATTATAAAACTATAGTACATAGATGTTTAGGAGCTTTCGTGTGCACCCCATAGAACCATATCACCAACGAAAGCTTTTCAAGAGACACTTTATAAGTCATTTCTTAGATTCGACGTGTCTTAAAAGCCCTCTCAAAAAATGGACCTAGAGATTTTTGAAAAGACGCTACATTTGCAGTTAAATTTGTAAATAAATAAAAGTAATTTATATTGTCCGTGTTTACGCTTCTGTAGAATACGACCTACGTGAAGCACTAAAATACATTATTAACGAGCGACCCAGCTGTCCGTCCGTCCGATTGTCTACATGATAACTCGCGAACGATTTCGAATTTTCCAATTCGATGTACTTTCTGTCCGTCAGTCTGTATTGGTCGCTCTTTGTTTGAAAATTGGTTTGACACAGTTTATTTAATCCGCAAACGGTTAATGAATTGTGATAATTTTTCCTTAGGTAGATACCTACATGAAATAAGTGCAAAACGAATAATTTTGGCAGTACATCAGCCTTACTTGCCCCACCTGACTACGCTACTGAATATGTGTTCACTTGTACCTTTTAAAACTGACATAGGTTCTGTACCGTAATTGTCAAGTATCTATTTTGAAGTATGACAACACCAACATGAAAGGTTGTGTGTTCTTTTTGGGCGAAAAATGGAAAAAAGTTTTAGTTTTGAAGGCGGTGCGCCTATACTGCCACTCAAACCATTATTGTAGGCGGTATTTTCCCAGAAATATAGTGGTCAAACCACAAAACAATTGAGCATCGAGTTAATTTAACGCATAACCACTATTAATACACATTTCATGTAAATCATTATTTACCTAAACAAAAGAATAATAATTAATAATTTGCTCTCAATCTGTAAAAAATCGAGTTTATTATTAAACGTTACGCTGACCCGAAATTGTTTGTTAATTGTTGTTTTTGTAGCGATTTAGAGCAACATATGCTGATTACAATGCTTTTGCTGTTTTTTAATCAAGAATTAAGGGGTGCTCCGCCAAGTCAATAAAGTAAAAAATGTGTGCTACCAAGAGATATTGGGGGTCAAGCTTTCTGATGAAGATTTAAAAAGATTGATCGAAATAGGGTGAGTTTAACGGGAGATATTGACTGGTTCTTTGACGATGACCGGCCTACGGAAATATCTACTGAACTGATTTTAATGAATGATGTTATTGAACTCGGCTTGAGCGGCAGATGTGCCTTATATACCCCCAAAAAGGATCGTTCGGTCCAAAAAATATATAAAAACCTCAACAAAGGGGCAAAAATCTAGTGATACAATTTCCAACACTACAAAAATGTGACGAATGTCGCATCACACCATAAAAAATCGCCGCCAAGTCTTCGGCCCAAAAATGCTATGAAATTTCGTTTGGGCCCCGCCTCATACCATACGTAATTGTATTCTCCCTTGTTTAAGGTCGCAGCCCAAACAAAATTCCATAACCTTTTTTTTTGGGTGACTTAATTTTCTTTCCAAACTTTCAAGAATATACTGGAGCTCGATAACTCAAGAAATGCTCTTTACTATTTATTGGGCCAGTGCTTTACCTTTAACCATTGAATAAAGTTATTATTCAAAGCTTTTAACGAAGCATCTTGTAGTCGCTTAAAGGCGTTTGGACCAAATAAAAAACGCGCGCCGCTAATTTGATTTATTAGTTTTATATCATTAGTTCCACTTTGGAATATCCCACCTACCCGAATTCTCTCGAATACAGTTAATAAACACCGCAATAAAATCGAACAATATTGGGCGTTCTTCAAATGAGAGTGGGACTTTAAGTAAAGAGGAATCCTGATTAACCTTCACACTTCAAATTGTCATTTTAGGTCGATTTCGAAACTGAAGGCGTAGGCCAAAC